TCCCTGGAGACGCTCTGGCGTCTGTTCTTCCGGCGCTTGCTGTACCAGGTAACCCACGCGCGGGAAGTGGGGACCGCACTGTCGCTCCGCACCTGCCCCCGGTGGGGGCCGCGCTTCGGAGGAACCGAAAACTTGAGTTGTTCCCCAGGGCCAGACCACTGAGGTTCGTGACGCCGGGACGAAGGTCGGGGCAGGACTTGCACGGCTCCTAATCGAGGAGGGCAGCCGTTTTCCCAGGCAGTGCCTTCCCTGACCCTCACCGGCCTCTCTCATCAGTCCATGGACTCGGCTCAAGCTTCTTCAGCTGGTGCCCTCACTCCCCAGTCCATCGGACCCTATGGCGGCAATGAACAAATGAATAGACGTAGGAATAAATCATTAGGCCTGTTTAGAACTAGGTAGGAGCAGAAAGAGAACTGAGATGCCTTCGGTTTGGGTGAAGATCACTCAGTCTCTCATAAATTTACGAGATCGAATTGTTATTCCTAATGTCACATTTGTGTTGGAATACAGGGTGGAGAAAAAGTAAGTTTCAGTTTGAGTTACAGTTGTGCGTTACAGTTGTGAGTATGCGAAAGGCAGAGTTTATTTTTGTATTATTTGCTATTATATTATTTTCCATATGAACAACTGTAAACCTACTTTTGCCTCGTCCTGTATATCCACACATATACATATTTCAGGTGTAGTGGAGTTTCGTTAAATTAGCAATTAATTTCTCCCATAGTGTCTATACTTTCTTTTTAAGTTCCTCTAAACACATAGTAGGTATTTGGTATTTGTTACATGAATAACTTTTATTCCATGGTATGGGTTAGGGAGAGAAGTTATTCTATTAACTAATTTTTAACTTTTTTTTTTTTCTCCTCTCCTTTGCTATAATTACTTCCTGATTTTCAGGCTGAAGTCTGTAAGCTTGGAAAGACCTTCAGCAGTAATCTCTAAATGTAAGTCAAGTGAATCATGGCCTGTCTTCAAACAGTTTTTCTGATTTATGTCTTGATTTAACCATCAATAAATATCATTTGGCAGGAGATCTATTTATTTTGTTTAACAACTTATCTAATTACCTACCATGGAGTGCGAGGAGTGTCCAAAAATTTTGATACAAAGAATAAACATCTGGTGACTCTTTAAATTGCTTTATGTGAATTTTTAAAATCTTTTCAGGAGCATAATTATTTCTACTTCTGTAGTTTTCTCTAAACTTTCATAGTAAGAGAGCTTGTGGTGATAATGAAAAGTTCTAATTATAAATGATTTTGTTGATAGTAAAATCATATTTATTTTGAATTCTCTTGATGATAAATAATAAATTAGCTTATTGGCTTTATTTTTCACTTCTCAGCTCTTAGTGCGTAGTGACTGAATCCTGAGACAGTGGCCAGCCTCAGACATAGTCCCTCCCCAGTAGACTCTTGTGTGCACAGTGCTAGGCCTCCCCTTCCTTTGTGTTTCCTGACGAGGGTATCTCCTGGGACAGTGGGCAAGAGGGTTACGCTTTGAAGAATTTTACTTGGGGGCCAGAGATGTAAACTCACACCGTGGGACACGTTCAGCCTGACCCAGCACTCTTAAACCTTTCATCCTGTGTTTCTCCATTCTCATTTGTCTTTCTATGTGGGGGCCAAATTTAGAGACTAAATACAACCCATACGAGAGCCAACCAGCAGATCAAAGAATCCACCAAATCTCTTCTGAATACCAACAGGGGAATGGCTTCAGGCAGCCTTTTGATCTTTGTCTCATCCCCTGTGGAGCCACATGCAGCACCGCCTACTTGCTGGCACTGGGGGAGCTGCCTCTGGGTCCCTATCTTCACCCTCAGCTCCTGGGGCTAAGCTCGGTTTTTGGCACCAGCCAGAGAAATTCCTGTCATTCTCCTTCTCCCTGACTCGGCTGAATCTGAACCATTGCCCTCCCTGCTGTTGGTCCCATCTTGCGTTATTCCCTCTGTGGTCTTGAGCCAGGAGAACCTTGATGAAGTGCCACTGTTAAGGACGTGTTCCATTTCCGCTTCAGGCCTCAGTTAATCCCGTTCCTCCTGGTTAGAGATCACCCAGGACCTGGGAGCGCTGGCCTACACCAGGAAAATGATTCAGCTCATTTTAACTAAGAGCACCTCTGCAGGTATAATTTAACCCTGAAATAACAGGCCCCAAACCATACTTGCATTTTTTTTCTCACTTATTTTCCCTTTGCTTGCTTCTATATACTAGAATACAACTACTTTCTAATTCAGCATAAATTACTGAACTTATAAAAGAGATAGTGGTTACTTAGATGAGAAAATAATTTGTTACAGAATCCCTTTAAATATTTGATGCATTTCAAATATTAACTGTGGAAAATTTCAGTACACACATTATCTGCGGTGGAAAACAAAATACCCTTATGAGGCCATGCATTTTGAAAAACAGAATCTCCTTTTTCAGCAGGCATAGGCAAGGTAGGAAGCGGGGTTTAGAGAGCCTGCGTAACTTCCACTCTAACTCTGACCTTAAACTTTCCAACATAGATTGCTTGAGGGACATTTTTCCTAATCTGCAGTTAATAACTTTTTTCCACTTTATCGTTCAGCTCTGATCACCCCCCATTCAGCGTCTGTGCCTTGAGGCTTGCCAGCAGGGCTTGCGATACTCACATTAAACTAAATTTAAGAGTAAAGGTGCTCCTGCTGCTAATGCTCTCACATCAGAGGAGAGCAAAATGAAGAAACTGGCAGCTGGGAATTTAATGGTAGGAAACAATGACTCAAGTGTTGAGGGGCAAAAAATCACAGTTGATCTGTGTGACAAAGAAGACATGCCTCTCCCTGGATAACATCTGCATTGGATTTCATTAGATGTTTGTATTTCCTGGCTAAAATAATCAAACTCAAGTAAACATCAAAAAGGATAAACTTTATGTCACAGACTGGTAGCCCAGCTTGGGGAGGGAGGGCCAATATACATTTTGATGGGACACACAGGCTGAATCAGAGATTCTGGGGCCTGGTTCCACGGTTTCTAAGTAGCTTTGGCCCCCTAGTATTTGGAGAACTTACAAGTCCTGTTTTCTCATTTTAAAGGATAATTATGCAGCTATCACTCCCCCCACCCCCCACTGCCAACACACACAATGCCCTTGGTAAGCAAAGTAGGGCTCCCCTGCCCAAAACCCTCCAGTGCATTCTTCCCTCAGTTGAAGTGGAAGTCACAGTTTTTACAGTAACTTTCAAGATCCTATTCCATTAAAACACAAAACTTCTCCTAGTGTTTTGGACTTTATCTCCTTATGCTCTTATTTATATCTCTTTGCTACTGGTGAGCATTTGGATACTGTCTAATCCTTTTATTTTTTGCTATAAATCTTATACATATTTTGGTTTGTTTCCTGTAATATAAATTCTTGAGGTCAGAGATCTTTGTCTTTGTTCACTGCTGTTTTCAGCAACTAAAACAGTATCTGGCACCAACTCGTTGCTTAATCTATTAAATATAGTAAAGGACCAGATTGACAGTGAATTACCCTAGGTCACACAGCTAGTAAATGCGGGAGGTAAGTAATTTAAAACAGAAAAGCAAGCCTTCCTGCTGCTTGGTAGGGCTAAGGGTAGAGGTCAAAATGGATGGTCATATTGCTGGTGGATTCAAGAGGCTCTGGTCTTTTGGATGCCTCTCTCGTTAACAGAAGTGTGGGTTGTTTTGCACCTGAAAGTCCTTGCAACGTGACAATTTTTCCATTCTGTGTCAACTAACATTATTTCCACACTTTTTCCTCTTCAGAGTAAGGTTTAGATAACTTGATTTTATAGACCCACCTTTATTATTGCTCTCTATCGTCTCCACTGTGACACGTTGCATTTCCCAAAGGTAGCACCAACAATATCTCCCATCTTTCATTCTTCCCTTCAATGTGACTTTGATGCCCTCTCATCAATAGATGGGTCTATGTTCACTCACTTTGAATCTGGACAGACCTATTATTATAGCAGAAGTGATGATCTGTGACTTTCAAAGCCAGGCCCTAAAAGGGGATACAACTTCCACCTGGCTTTTCTTTGGGATACTTGCCTTTGCAGCCCTAAGCTGCCAAGCCAGAAGTCTGGGGCTGCCATGTTGTGAGGAAGCTCAAGCCATATGGGGAGGCCACATGTGTGTATTCTAGCAGAGAGCCCCAGTTTAGGTCCCAGCTAATAATAGCATCAACTATCAGATACATGAGTGAAGACACTTAGAGATGATTCCTGCTCTCCTTCATTGAGTTACCTCCCAGCCTTCTGAGTCTTTCTAGCAGAGACCCTCGCCATTGTGGAGTAAAGCCAATCCTTTGTGCCCTATCCTAATTCCTGAGCCACAAAAAGTGTGAAAGATAATACAATGATTGTCGTTTTAATTAATGTTTTTAAAACTACTGTTTCAAAGGGATTTGTTACATTGCCGTAGCTGTGTCTCTCTCATGGCAGTTGTCTCCTTGTTGAGAATTATTCTTGGCATCTGTCACTTCTAAGGGAAAGCCTTTATTTGTGAAGAATAAAGATTTTTAGAAAATAGCAAAATATGAGCAATGTTCAATTATTGATTATAACTGGAAAGCAAAGCAAGAACATTTGAAATCCGTAGCTGTCCTAAAAATCTTTACTTTTTAATTGCAATCATGTCTCTTAACAAAAAACTCATACCAACACTCGTGATTGACTAAATTTTCAACTCATTTATCAGATTTTCTCCTTCATAGTAGAGAGGCAGACAAGTAATAAATTGGCCAAAAGGCAGCTACTGGAAGAAAATAATGAGAGAAGCAACCTGTAGAATTCACTCACCGAGTATCATTCCTGAATAACAGAGCTATAGCTCTACACAGAGAGGTACTCTCAGCTCAGATGACAGACTGTGGATCTAACAATGTCTTAAAATATTCTTTGAAATATTTATCTTTAAAATACCACTTTCCTTCCTTCCTTCCTTCCTCCCTCCCTCCCTCCCTCCCTCCCTCCCTCTCTCTTTTTGTAGTACGACATGACTACTCTGCCCCACCTGCCCACCACACGCCCAAAGCTTACATCGTTAGCCAGACAGAAGCTGCCATGCTCCCCCAGCACAATTCCAAGGTACGTGACCCCTGGTTTTCATTTCTTTTCCTACAGAGTAAATGTCTTACAGTAAGAACTCTCAATAGCACCTCTCAAAAAGCAAATTGTTTAATGACAAAAGTATATTGTTATATTCAGAATATTCAAATTGGTGGTTTCAAAAGGATCGATGAACTTCATTTAAATAATAATGTATTTATTTAGCCAGCTAGTGCTCATTTGATCATTTTATTTTTTTATTCCAATTATGTTGTGGTTCCTTCCTATAAAGCTTTGGAGATAAACTTTTTTTTTTTTTTAAATGTGTGTGGAGAACAGAAAGCAGAAGTTTTCAGAATTAACAGTGTATGGCTTCTAATCCACAAGGTCCTGAGAGCCTATTTTCATTTTGGAGGAAGGAGGACCTAGTCTCATTACCAGGGTTGATTGGCAGGCGCCATCTGCTCCTGAAGCGATCCTGGGGCCAGCAACTGAACCCTCCAATCACATCTCCCCATGACGGACTGCAGTGCCCCTGGAGGTGTAGTTGAGAAATTGCAGGACAGAGAACTCAATGTATTTTGTTATAATTATGAATGTTAACTAAGATTGCATTACTCAGTAATTGGATTTATAATTGTATTGTTTAGTAATACACATATTGTTTGTAAATATAAATAATTTACATATCTTAGTTTGATTATTTTCTTTATATACATACCTTTTCATTTCCTGCCAGGCATGATAATCAAAAATTATGAGGCTACTTTGTTCTGAAAAAAAAATTATACCTTGTTTTTAGTATTTCTGGGAAAGACCAAAACCCCTGAACTAAATATCAATAAATACATTTAGCTAGACTACATAAAAGATTTTTTAAATAATAGCATATCAAATTTTCATTTTCAAAAAATGTAAAAAATAAAGTTTTCAGTAGATGCATGGTTCCAGGATATATATTTTTTTATTAAGGCCTAACTGAAATTACTGAAATACATGTGTGTGTGTGTGTGTGTATGTGTATATATATCCACATATATATTGTATTTTTGAAAATGTGAAATATTAACAAAGTCTGAAAAAGATTATTTTTCCTATCTTTCTTAATTATTGAGGCTATATTTTCTTTTCAACATGAGTGAAAACACAGCCAATCCCACATCTCTAAAATAAGATGTAAACTCCGTTTTAAAGAAAAGTTTTTCTTTTATTAGTATTGAATAAAAACATTTCTATCATAGTCACTGAAGGCAAAGTTTTGTATCAGCACTCTCCATTACTTCTGAATAAAAATAGATATTTGTTCAGTTCTATTCTCCCATAGTCATAAGATATTAATATGTTTATTTTTAATGGTACAAGGGTGTATAGAGAATAAACACACTACACATGTAATATATTTCTCAGTAAATATATTTTTCTTAAAATCACTTTGCACTTGGAACTTTTAATAATAATTTGAGTTTCATGTATGATAAAAAAACACTCAAACAGCATTATAGAGCAAATTTATTAATGTTTGGATCAAATAAATTTTACGCATTTGTATCTACTAGGTATTCTTAGTTCAAGATTCTGTGCCAAACAGAATATGACTTCTGTAACCTGGAATGTTATACTAGGAAACACCATGAGTAAAATGGAAGATCTTATAAGCTTGGAGGGAAAAAATGCATTTATTTAAAAATGCAGATGATTTTAATGCATTTAGTGTTTTATTTGTTTACATACTGGGTTTAATATTCTTCTCTTTTTTCATTTAAGAAAATTAAAAGTTAGGAATCATCATTCAATAACCTAACTCTAACAACTACTGTAGCACGTTTAGCGTGTATATGGTGTTGTGCCTGAACGCTTCTGTTTTCCTGGTGGCATTCGACGTTTGGTAGCTTTTCTGCTTGATAAGGCAGTGCTTTATGATTGCTTTCCATTCCATTTAGGTCTCAACTGATCAAAGAAAAAGAAGACATAGATCATTACCTGGAGGTGAACTTCAAAGGACTGTCAAAAGAGGAGGTTGCCGCGTAAGTATAACCTCTTAAAGGTACTTTAATATAAAGTTTGTTTCTTTTGTCTTGATTCTTTATTGAAATTTCAATTTTCCTGTGCAGTATACCGTTTCATTGGAACATGGCATTTAAAAATTAACGCTCATATTAAATAGTGATAAGTCATGTCTATTCATCTTACACATATCAAAGTCTTTAATTTTATGGCTCTCAGAATTCTCATATTTACCAAGATATTATACTATCACATTTGCAATATTTTAGTTAAGTCTGTGCCATTAATTGCTTATTAACCTCCATTTTAAGGTGTGTTGCCTCCATGTGGGAGGAAAAAGCTTTAAGAGAAAGAGTCATATCTTTTTTTCCTGATGATTAAAAAAAAGTAATCCCTTACTAATGTATCTCCACCCCACCCCACCAATAACTCACAAAAAGAATTAATGCATCATAGGTTATTGCTTAATTTTAAAATAATTCTAAATTGTCTGGATTTATTTATTAAATCAGCAATGTAAACTTTGCCATTTTACCACTCGTTAGAACCTAATGTAGGGTGTGAGTAAAAACAGTATAAAAATCCATGTAGGTTAGTGAGAAATAAATATAAACTTAGAATAATAGCTAAAAGGGTTTATGTTTCTTACCTATAGACTTGGTGACTCTGATATGAGATCATTAGATGTAAACATTGAAAAATTAAAATTTTAAAAATGCACGTGCATCTTATGAATTCATTAAATGATTCAATTAAACTATTTTATGAAAAATGCTTTTAAAAGATTAGTATATCTAGTACTATGGGATCCCAATGAAAAATGATCACTAATGATATTTTTGGTATAGGTCTGCATATAGTTTAAAACTCTAAGTCTCTTGCTATATGTCATTAGATATTTTGTCAATTTACATATGACACAGAAAAATTGAATAGTACATTCTGTCAGTAAATACTTTATAGAGTGAAAAAATTGTACAGTAACTGTAATCATTGTCTTCCTTGGAGCTGTACTGACTGCCATGTGTAGTGCATGAGGCCTTTGGTTAAATGCTTTTCTGATTGTTAATTTGTTAACTTTCCATGGTGACCTGTTAGATAAAATTAAAGTCAGTATTGTCTGATGATACAATTACTTCTTAAAAGAAAAATACATATGAGTGATAGTTGCATTTTGATTTAAATATAATAACATCTATATTATATACATATAATAACATCTAATTAATAACATCCAAGTAGCTGTAACTGGCTTAAGAAATTAGGACTTAAATTTGGAATTAAACTTATTCTTCACATAATTTACTAATATGGAAATCCATATACTTAAAATCTGCTAAGCTTTCAGTCTGTTCTGAAGAAAATTTTGATCCAGGACAGTGCATAATAGGCTATACTGATAAGTGGTCTCTTAATAATATTTTTTCACTAAGGAGATTACCAAATTGATTTCAAATTCATATTATGCTGCAGAAAACAAGTAGCACTGGGTACTCCTCAGTCCTTAATATTGCATTCTCCTTAGAGTTTCTTGCACTTGAATACTTTTTTTTAGACCAAAGCTTTTTCCCTAAGAAAGTGGATGTAATCCTTAGCCGGAAGATAGCTTGTATTTAGCTCAATAGTATGCTTTTGATTGATATACATCGAGACTGTACCCCAGACAAACTCATTGAATAATACTGTAAGGAAGAAAACTGGTGAATGATTTCAGTGTCTACCAGCAATAACCAGCAGGTGCCATGAGGAATACTGCATATTCTGTTAGCCAAAGAATTGCTGCATAAAACTTTTGTAAGCCATTCAACTCTGAAAACATAAATCGGTCAGCAAACATTTAAGAGCCAACTCTGTAGCTAATATTAAGTTTTTCACAGTGGGAGAGACGATGATATTTCATTGTAAAATACTTGGCCCCATCCTTGTCTCTATTTGAGACAACAAGATCTACAAGCAGGAAACAAACACAGAATGAATGAGTGTTGATTGTACTAGGGAATCAGAGAAGACTAAGGTGGTAGAATGGAACTTAGCAGGGAAGACTGACTGAGTTTGGCCCCTGTCTGATCATTATAAAATGATTGAAATGGTATGTAACAGATCTGCACTGTACAGGGATGTAAGGTGAAGAAATGGATGAATCAAATTTTCAATTGGGCAAAAGCAGTATCTAAGATACACCCTCAATCCCTCTCCACACTGCCTCAATCTTCTCTAAGATGGTAATAGGTATTATAATATCACTCTGTACAATTGATGTATACTTTGATAGTGTATAGTATGTTTGTGCTCTTGGTCTAGTCCCAAAGTAACCACACGTCTACTTCAGGAAGCGCCAGCCGACTTACATGTGAACACACTCTGCGGCTTTCCTCCTCCTGCAGTGAGGGGAGGGGTCCTGCTCTTGTCCAGGGAGGGTGCCTCTACTTGTGCCCTGGAAACCATCCCTCTTACTTATTCTAAAACTTTCTTCTGTACCAGAACTTTTTTTTTCTCCCTACATCATCAATTTTTCCTTTTTCATTGGATCAATTTCATTAACATTTATATCTACTCTGATATTTCCCTTGGCTTCTTATTTCTCTCTAGATTCTACCCCATTTTTTCCTACCCTTCACAACAGCCAGAAGCAATATCTCAGTATTTTCACATCCTGTTCTTGCCTTAATTGACTCCTAATAAATTTCCAACCCCCAAACTCACTAAAATCTTTGTTTAGGGTGACCAGTGTCGTCCTTTGTTACCACATCTGATGGTCGTTTCTGTCTTCATCTTGGCTGGACGTGTTCACGGCATTCGAAGGAGTTGAGTACTCTCTCTTTGAAGGGCCTGTAGTTGTGGTTTCCAGGATGCTGTATCCTATGCTTTTCCTCCAAGCTCTTTGACTGTGAAGCCTCAGCCTCCTCTGCTCGCTGGCTTCCTTTGTTCACATTCTCAGTGGTGGGGTGTCCTAGGCAGGGCTGGGCCTTCAGGCCTCCACCCCAGTTACACTCTCCAGCCGGGTCCAGTCTTACAGTTTGAGTTATTAGCAATAACCTGGCGACTATCAAATTTGTAAATCCAGCCCTGACCTCACTAAGGAGCTCCACATTGTTATGTCCAATTGCCTCCTTGACATATTTCCTTGGATTTTTAATACACATTTCACGGTTAATGTGGCCCCAGCCTGGACTCTTGCTTTACTCCCACGGCTCCTCAGTTTCCACTGAATATTTCTCCCAGTCTTTCCCCATCCAGTAAACGGCATCACGACCGCCTTGAGCATCTCCTTGCTCCTACTCCCCCGCCCCCATCTAATGCATCCTTTTGTCTCTCTCAGATGTGACTCCAGAATATATCCATGTTAATCTTCTTCTCTCCATTGCATATCCACCCCCATCTCTTGCCAAAATCACTAAAATAGTCTCCTAATTGCTCTTCTCATATCCACTTGAATTGCTAAAATTCAACCTCAAGGGTGATCTTTAGAAAAAATTAGATCACCACACTCCTCTGTTTAAAACCCTCCCTGGGCTTCCCATTGTTCCTAAGATAAACTCTGAACTCTTTACAGTGGCCGAAGGCGGTGCAGGGCTGGGACTCCGCTCGCTCACTTGCCTCTCTGAGCGAATCTCCCGCTCTCCTCTCTGCGTGTTGCCAGCCTGTCCCCGACTTTCTCCCAATCAAATGACCTGGGTCTATTTCTGATATCACCTGGTTTCCATCTTGTGTTGGGCGTTTACATGTCAACTGCCTCATCCCGTGCAGAGTGGACCCTCCACGGGATCAGGAGTGGGTCTATGTGTGTTCCAAGGGACCCCCCCAGGCCTCAGCAGGGCCTGGCATGCAGTGGGAGCTCGGGAATTAGATTTTGAATTAATGAATGAGTGAGAGAATACATGTAAGACTAACGACACCATGAAACAGGTATCCTGCTATGAATATTCTTTGGCTGTAACATTTTTAGTTCAGCATTGCATGTAGCTGGTTTGCCTGTTGCATCAAGGAATTTTAGCTCCTCAAAAGTGTTTTATATATCCAAGTAGGATTATAATATGTAAACGAGTAACTGAGCAGGACAAACTAATGTAGTTGTTCCTGGAATGTCTGAATCCAGTTGATGGGGGTACACTTTACTTCCGAATGGGTAAAATACTTAAAAGACAAAGGGCTTCTGGGTTTTTTTTATCATCCACATTTACAGGAGAGATTTCAGTAGGCTTTATTACTTTTTAGGTAATCAGGCTATTGCTGTGCCTAATAGGTACATTTTTTTCAAACATATTGTACGTATATTTGACACTGATAATTTGACTTTCTTAGATAAGTCTTCAAGTAAGTTCAGTAATAGTATTTAACTGATTTTTAACTATAGAAGTTCATGTTGTATTTCTGTACTTTTTAAAAATTCCATATTATCAGAACGCATTATTGCTTTTTTAAAGGACCTAAAGTATCCCTTATTACCATATCATAATTGCTTTGAGTAGCTAAGTAATAAAAGTGTCATTTATAGATTCAAATAAAAATTTCTGGGGGGCAGTTTTTACAGCTCTAGCTATGTATATTAGGATACAAATAAACAAAATCATCAAGGGACAGGGAATGCTAATCTGCTCAATATTATTTTCTGCTTCAGATATCAAGTTCTGTTATGTGGAAGAATAGATTTACCTCAAAAGTGTGTGCGTCTCAAAATTGTGTGCTTTTTTCAGAAGATCTTTTAACATCATTAGTTGATGTTCACTGAGTGTCACTTTGTCAGTGCAGTGGCAGGTACAATTGTCAGTTACCATTTTCGAAGACTTGGGGTTGTAAAGAAACAAAGAACCATTTATTTTTATATCTTCTAAAACCTTTCTCTCCTGCCTCATTTTGAATTGCATTACACTTACTCAAAGTAAATTAGCCTTTTGCCAGTCTTAGGTTTTTATCTTGAATTTGTTTCAAAATTGTTTTCCAAAAGTACTTTTACATGCTACAGGTATACTTGTTATAAGCAGTTTTGACGCCTGTGTTTGCACAATCCAGGCACTCAAAA